GGTTGCGGGTTGTTCCAGTTTTGGATTTGTCTAACAATGAGAAACGCCTCTTTCTACTGATTCATGAAAGCTCTTTCGACAACAAAAGGAATCTAAGGTAGAGATTACTGAGAATGCAGAAAACCAACCGGATCAATAAAAACAGGGGCGGGGAAGCGATCACAGCCTGCTCTCTGCTAGCACCAGGAGGAGACTGGGAAGTGCAGACACTGTCTCCTAGAAATGCTTTCTTCACATTCCCCCTGCAGGTGCTCCAGGTGTGTTTCTTGTTTTCCTTTCCAGCACCGATGACCCACCTGCAAGATGTCCTTTGCATGTAATGTGTTCCGGGCACACTCCAGTCTTCATGAGCCATCATCGCCTCAAGCTACACATACAATAGCTACATCTTAACAGGACTAATGGGGGGGGGGGGGCGGGCATGTTTTCATATTTCCAATAAGATACTTGAAATGATTGTGTTTCTCCATGGTGATTCTGGGTGAAATGTGTACAGAGGTCTTTCCTCGGGTCCCTCACCCCCTAGAGTCTTGCTAAGGGGGTGGGTGTTGACATAACAATATATCGAGCCGTCTAGAAATGACTGTGTGTTGGAGTTATTGCTATTAGTAACAATTAACAACCATGATTTCGTAAATGAAAATTCCATTTGATACCTGTCACGAATGGCTATTTTCACAGGAAACCGAGCTATTACACCCTCGTCCCCTCCCCCCAATAAAAATAACAATATGAAGAACCAGAGAGAGTTCCAATCATCAGATTGATCACAGTGGAGCTGGAATACTATCTCCTGGTTCCTGAATAAATTCTCTCCAGCTGGCTTTTCTGGACAGCGTAGACAGTGAGGCACTGGACTACTAAAGGGTGACCCCAGGGAATGCCGGGAAAGGCACCTCAGAAGAAAGACTTGGCAGCCTGATTCTAAAGGGTCACATCACTTAAAAACGCCATGAGCAAACCCCATGCAAGGCAGCGAGAGGGAAACACCCGGGCTCGTCCTCAAGGGAAGTGAAAAGTACCACCAACTCATTACCAGGACAGGCCCTGAGCAGTCAGCTGCTAGCCTTACCGTGGACAGTGTGGGTCCACCCACAGGTCCCTTGGGAGAAAGCCCCGGGGACCTGTGACTGAGAAATCAGCCCCTGAAAATCCCGTGAAGCCCAGGTCTACTCTGACACGCCCAGGTGTCAGAGTTGAAGTAGACTCAATGGATCCTGGAACAGGAACTGTCATAACAGGTGGGTTAAAAACACACAACACCTATGACAACATGGCAATATTAATTAGTCACCGAAACTCTCCTCGGTGACGAGCATGGGCTGCCACTCTGTCGACTGGGTCAGCAGCTTCAAGCAAATCCCACGCTCACAAAGGGGACCTGGGACCAAGACACAGGAGCCCCAAGAGAGGCTCTCTGAACCACTACTCATGTTGACAAAATGACTGGTGGAGGAGATTCCAGCTCATGGGCATTGCAAGGCCCAAACCACAGGAGAAAAACAAGGAAAAAACATCTTCCAGTTCTCCGAACAGTTCTGTGCACGAGTCAGACCAACATCTGCTCAAAGACCCAGGCAGCATCAATGTGAGCAGGGGTCGGCAAACACTGTCTACCAAGGGCCAGAAAGTCAGCGTGCTAAGCTTTTTGCGTCTCTGCTGTCCCTACTCAGGTGGATGGCCGCAGCACACAAGCAGCCATTCCCAGGAAGCCGAGAAGCAGATGCAGTGATGCGCCAATAAAACTTTACAAAGGATGTGGCATGGCAGCCTCTGGAGAGTAGAGCAGTGCACTTGACCCTCGCTCCCAAGTCCCAAATGGGAGTGAATCACAGCTTTAAACAACTACCTTGTTTAGTTCTCAATATCACCTACTCATCACCCATGGTCCAGTGTGGCCCCCACTGGTGAGTTCTAATAAAACCACATGGACAGCAACAGCAGCCATAGTACTAACTGTAGGAGCACTGGCAAGTAAAGTTGCTGATTTTCTTGCAGAGATTAAACTTTTCACACCTATCATCTCATTTCACATTCTCTAACAACCCTAGGAGGGAGGTGATACTAATTATTCCCACATCACAGAGGGGACAACTGAGGCTCAGAGTAATGAAAGGTCTTATCACTTGTGGTGATGCTTGGATCCGAAATAAGATCTATCTACATAATTCCAAAGTGCATGCTTTCACACACCACATATCCCAAGCACCGATACCATTCTCATAAAAGGAACTAAAATAAACCCATTCAATTCAGGGGCAGATTAAAATCTAGACCAAGAAGCTTAACACTTTCAAGAACAACCCGGCCACCCTTGCTCAGTATAAAAATGCTTCCAGCAGCGAAGAATCAGCCATTCTTTCAGCAGCCCTACTCTTCAAGAGGCATTTATACTTATGGACTGTATCTCCTGTGTAGCTACCAGGGCCTGATGATTCTGGGGGCTAGGCACTGAGCTGCTAAGCATAAGGTCTGCGGTTCAAGCCCACCAGGCACTCATTAGGGGAAAATATGTGGATGCGTGCTCCCAAAGACAGTCTTGCAAACCATACATGGGGTGATTATGGGCCAGTTTTCTGTTTTATTTTGTGTTGCTTCTATCCTAATAGTCCCACATCTGATTTGCTTTGATTTGATGTAACGGGTCTGAAGTGCTGAAAATAACAGCAACCACTCTCACTGCTTCCTGACTTTGTGTTGTCTATGAGTCCAATGCCGAAAGTGTCCCTGTTGAACCAAGTCTTCTTCACATGAGTACCAGTGTTGTCATGTCATAGCTTCACTACTGGTGCTGCGGAATTTTCAGGAAGAAATATTCCAAGCATGGGGATCATGATATGCCACCCCTGAAACCTGTCTCATTCATTTCTTCTTTCACTCTTATTTTTTCTGTTATGCCTAGCAAGTGACATCATTGGTTCTTCCAAGTCAGTCCATATCCTTCCGATTCCCCCCAAAACCAAATGTGTTGCTGTGGAGTAATCCTGACCCAAAGCAAGGTAATACAACAGAGTGGAACTCTCCCAGGGAATTGCCACATCTTTCACCTGGGGCAGGTTTGGACCCATGACCTTCCGTTTGCAGTGGCGCAACTTCATCACTGTGCTACTCGGGCTCTTTGTCCTCCGGAGGGAATCCTGAAATGACTAAGGTTTAGTGGAATCCAGCCAATTACGCCAGTATTGTCTACAGCTGCTTTCTACGACAATGATGAAACTGAGTAGTAGCAAGAGGTCGTAGTGCTTGGACCACCTAAGATATTTATTCTCTGACCCGTTACAACAAAAGGCTGCCAGTCATAGAAACAGAACTAATCACCCTTCCACTAATAGTAACCCAGTCCAGACACAACACATCCCACAAATCCACACAGGAGACGCCTTGAGTCCAGGGCAGGACATCAACACTCATCCAGCTCAAGGACGGTGGCAGCACCTGCATCAGCGGGAGCTTCATGACATGGGACAAGGGCACTGAGAGACTATGGGAGTCTTCCGGGAACTTTGTGAAGCCCGTTCGTACACTCTTAATTAGGTAATGGACAAAGTTTCCAGTCTTTCCATCTTTCACTGCCATTTGCAAGTGCAGATGCTGATGGGACATCATTTCCAATTTCCTGACTAATGGCATGATTATTCTAAATTGATGAACTGTAAATAGCAGGCCACTCGATGCCTCCTCCTAACTGATATCGGACCCACAGAGTACAGAATGACACATCTTCTTTGGCTTCCTTGGCAAAAAGCCGCATATGTGTTACTCTGGCCTGCATCTCCCAATTTCCACCATTTATCAGCAAGGGGGACAAAAAGGCTCTAATTAGATAATTCTAATGAGAAGGAGCTGGTTGTGATAGAAGACTTCAGAATCACTATCTGTTCCTTGCAAAACAAAACAGATAGTCTATTCTCCCAGTTGGGGCAGGAGATTTATCAATAGACAAAAGGATGCAAAAAGCCAATAGATAAGGTGTAATTAAAGATCAGGCCTATAAATTTTACACTGACATAAATTTAACAGGATTTGCAGGTGGAGAGTCAGGATTTAAAACCTGAGCATCGTTATGAAAATGATATCTTTCGGTTCTGTATGCAACAATATTTCATAACACGAAGATTTGTTAGGAAGACTAATATTCCATGCCTCCAAGCTGATCCATACAAAGACTGTGAATTATTTGGTGCCAACATAATTTCCAAAGTGGCCTGTCTTCCTGGAGCATGCTCTGTCATTAACTAGAATACATTCCCCACATATGTTTGAGCCTCAGCCTCCCTTTTACAAATGCCAGTCCATCTATCATACTTTTGTCATTGTGACTATTGTTAGAAGTATAACCCAGAAATCGTATGTTTTTGTCTGTCTTTATTTTGAGGCACTTTAAAACTATAGGAAAAGTATTCCCGGTATATAGTCAACACAGCAATCACAGTAAAGGGGATCTCTCTTTATCAGCTCAAAGGCTAAAAGTAAAACTGAAAATGAAAAAGAATCGCAGAAGAGCATAGCGGACAGAGAAAGTATGTTCAACCACCGGGCTCTGATTTGAGAATAAAGGTGCATTTCTTGAATGGGGCATAAAATGCCACGGACCCACGAATCCTCGACCAGGTAGCAGCTTTTTCGTTCCTCCAAGCTACCCATCTAGATACATGTATATTTTTGTTCTCTGAAATCACAGCCACCAAAAAGAGAAGAACAACAAGCCCTGTGTCTTGTGGAAAATTACAAGTTTGGAAAAATAACTCATTAACCAGGAAGTTCAGAAATAAATGCAAATGAAGGGGAAAAAACAGGTTGAGAAAACAGGTGGGAGAGATAAATTAAGGTACTTATAACCTTGAGGAAAAACACAGTTGACTACCTTCAACTTTCAGTGAACTACAAAAGGTTTGAGCAAATAGAATTGAGGCATAAAAGTGATGAAAAGAGAGCTTTGTCGTGAGTTTAATGGGATGTGAAGGGGCCTGTGTGAGCCGGATCAGAACAATGCAACTCACCCGAGTAGGCCCAGTACGGGTCGCCCGAAGCCTTGCGTCGGCGGATCTGCACTGAGCTGCCGTGTCTGCTTTCGTGCAGGGTCCCCACGTAGCCTTCTGTCAATGCTGGAAGAGACGGAGAGCCACGGTGAGTCAGTCATCACCCACTGAATCACGTGCTTGGTGCCCGTGGTTGGCGGCAAGCATCCACCCATAGAGCACCTCAGAAGAAAGGCAGGAGCTCTACTTCCCCCAACAACGAGCCCGGAAAACTAGAGGACGCTCAGTTCTACCTTGGTACCCACGGAGCCACCACGAGTGGCAGTCTCCTTGTAGGCAAAACTGGCTTGGGTGACTTCATAGAAACACACACCTGGACACTGTGGGGATGGCTGGATACAATCTCCTTAATTTCTTTTAAAACAATAATCGACTCAAGGAAACCCCAGGTAAAGTAGCATAATTAGTATTAACATTAAACAATAAGCCTTCACTGTGTTCACGGAGTTGGTACATTTAACAGACAACACCTTCTTTGAACAGAACACGGCTCAAGCAGTAGATTGAATGTTCAAGGGCATGCTGCAGACAGCAAGCAGGAGCTTCCACAGAGTAAGAGACTATAACTTGCCCCGGGTCACAGAACTAGTAATAGATGTTGAACCCGCCTTTTGGGTCCCATCCAGAGGTGCAAGCTTAAGTCCATACAAGCAAATGCCCAGTGTGCACAGGAGCTTTCTGGCCTCATCAGGCTACTCCACGTCCTCTGCAGATGGAAGAACGGAGGCTCAGGGTTGCTCAGTCACCAGTTCAGGTCACACAGGTAAGTGTGCAGCAGACCAGGGAATAGAACATGAGCGTCCCTGCATCAAGGCCAAGGCCTTCGCTATCAAACACGGATCATGCAGCACCATCTATGGCCTGGGAGAAGCCCCATTGGGGACACTGGTTCACCAGTCTCCCATCACACCAGATATGGAACAAAAACTCCTGCAAAGCCAACAATGCTCAGAAAAGAAAGGCTGCTTCATGCTGTATTTCTTTTCATGATGCATTTTTGAAAAACTGAAAATGAATCCTGTCAGCCAAATGAAAGCAAAAATATTCTGCCATAGTACTGAGAGCTCCCCTCTCCCAGCCACTTCATGGCGGCAGATTCACTTCGTGCTGAGACCATAACGGAATGCACTAATGGGGGAGGGGGGCAAAGACCACAGGGGCCTGGAATCCAAAATGAATTGAAATTGCACCTTGAGCACTACATCCCAGCTGACTACGTTAATAGTCATATGCACCCAAACAAAATCAAGTTGTTTGTAAAACGCAAAGAAAATGGGGGCGGAGGTGACTGTATAATCAGTGTGAGATTAAGATAACACTGTGAAAACATACCAATTTAACATCCCCAGTCCAAATTAATCAATGAGGTGATGGTGATGACAACCAAAAAGGCACCACCACAACCATGATTGGCCCTGTGGGTAATGAGATATTCAAGAAGAAAAATGTAAAACCTGGAAATATTTTATGTGTACACTTCGACTGCAAAGATGAGCTTTAAGACAAATGCTTTGCACAGAAAACAAAGATGATTCAAAGACATGAGCCCATTAGAAGGAAATGAGACTCTTAGACCGCCCAAATGTTGTTGTTGTGTAATGTTGAGTCAATTCCCACTCACAGTGGCCCTATGGCATGGAGACCTGCCTCACAGGTTTTCTTCTTAAATAACAAAAAGAAGCACTGTACTGTGTCCACAGGTGACTCAGTGGATTTGTATCCAGAGATTGAGCCCTGCTCTCCCTAAACTGTAACCTTTATGGGGCCGGCAGCAAAGTCTTCCTCTTACAAGTGACTGGTGAGGTAGAAATGCAGATCTTTCAGCTAGTAGCTGAGCACTTAGGAACCTTTAAAATCCAAATATGTACTCGAGTATAAGCCGACCCGACTAGCAGCCAAGGCACCTAATCTTACCACAAAAATGGCATTAAAAATGTGCTGAAAAACTAGGCTTATATATATCTCAAGAGTAAATATAGATCTAGTCATGGGTTCTGAAAGTAAAAAGTCTACGTTTCTAGCCAGTGCTACAGTAGAAGGAAGGTTTGGTACCATCCAATCTTCAATTTTGGTGTTGGGAAATCCAGAGCCCAAGGAAGTTAACCAGCCAAATCTTCTAGGGACCAAAAAACAAAATTTCCCATGGTCTGGGCACCTAATCTAAGAGGCTCTGCAAGTGGTACAAATGGTTAAGGGTTCAATTCCTAACTGGAAGGTGGGTGGCATGGATCCCCGCAGGGGTGCCTCTGAAGGTAAGCCTGGTAATCTGCATCTGAAAGGCCACAACCTAAGGGGACAGCTCTACTCTGCAGACAGGCAGGTGGTCACCAAGGGACAGAATCCATTTAATGGCAAGTGGTTTGGGTTTGGGTTAGTATCCTCCTCCAGCTGTCCCTCTACCAAACCACAGTAGATAAATGCCCAATACATTGATTTCCTTTGGTATCTGTCTAGGGGGCATCTGGAGTTAAACAAGACAAAACCAGACCCACAGCCAGTGAGTTGATTCCACCTCAAAGGGACCTAATCTTATGGCTAGCGTCACAGCACCAAGCCCACACACCACCTGCTGTGAGTGTGTGCAGTCCAAATAATTATTTCCCAAGCAATCAAGACATTGGAGAAAACGGGGTTTTGACCATGAGAATACTAAATGTGGCTTCCATTAGTGTGGGGGGTTCGGCCTCAGTTTCTTTGTTTGAAAAAAAAATGGAGCTAAAACACAAACCTCAAATGATTGTTAAGATGTCCACACAAATACAGTACCTAATTCACATAGCTATTTTAGAGAAACTGTATTCTAGAAGGCAAACAACGGTTTATCGGACGTTCCCAAACTTCCTTTGGCTGATAGCCCACTTTTTTTGGTGAGGGGGAGATTTTTACTCAGTGCCCAGCCTGCTGGCAATAAAAAGTTATGTACTATCTAGTCCGTCCATAATGTGGGATAAACTATAGGTGCCCGCATTTGCAGCCCGCCTAGCCAGGGGTGGGCATCATCCACTTTGGAAAACACGGATTTAGATCAATCAGCAAAGCACGTGGCTTTGGTAGTGTGCTCTTTGGAAGAATGCAAGGCAGCTTGAGAAAGCACCACTCCAGAAGTCAGATTAAAGCTCTGCTTTAAGGTAATTCAGCAATTATTTTCATTGTTCCTCAAGACATGCAGTATGACATCCCTCAGGACCACACATTGTTTATCTGTTCTGTTGGGGCCCTCTTTCTCAACACAATGTTGATAAGATTGGGTGTAAAGTCTTCAGAGGGCCTTTCATTTTAGGCTCTAGTGAATTAAGGTCTGGGCTGCTCACCACAGGCTTGAACCTATCAGCAGCTCTCTCCAAGGGTGACAGATGGGCTCCCTGCTCCTGCAGAGACTGAGTCTCAGAAACCCACAGGGGCAGCGCTCGTCTGTCCTATGGGGTCACGGAGTTGAAATGGGCTAGAAGGTAGGGGGTTTGGATTGTGAGGAGAGACCTTACCCTGGTTGCAAATCATATATTAAATAAACTTCAACCCCTGCCTAGTATTAGCTTAAGATGCTATTTTTAATACTTTCAACCTTAGCCTGCTTGAAATGTATAAATAAAAGGTATCCATCCAGAGATTCTTACTTAATTGGTCTGGAATGAGTTCCAAATCCAAAAACCAAACTCGTTGACGTCGAGTCAATGCTGCCTCATAGCAACCTTACAGGACAGGGCAGAACTGCCCCTTCGGGTTTCTGACCGTTCAGATCTTGACATTGTTCTTCCATGAGCGGCTGTTTGTCTACCCATGTGCCTGGTGGGTTTGAGCTGCTGACCTATGGTTAGCAGCCCAAGGCATAACCCATATACCCTCAGAGTCCCTGAAACCCAGCTATCACTAAAAACAAATAAATAAAATAATAATAATAATAGTTCCACAGTTTTTGAAGACCAGCGGTAGGAATCATGAAAACTTCATGGTGAGCTAAATCTAAGGTCCCATTCAACTTTGACATTTTTGACTGTTGCCCTCGGAGCTTGTCACTTGACAGGCTAAGTCTAAAGGCTGATAACAGCCACAATGGGCAGAAACCACACCAGGGTGGCGTCCCCTTCAGAGTTTACACAAGGAAACCTCAGGTGAGCCAGAACGGAGCTCTAACCTGAACGTTACCAACCAACAAATGACTGAGGGCCGCACAATCAAGAAGGCATGTGGCTTTCTGCCAGCGTCTTCATTTCTGTGCCCCTTCTGAAAGATACACTCTCTCCTTCACTTTGGAAGATGCTTCTAGAATTCCAATCCCCACTACAAGTCCTATCCTGTGTGTTTCTCAGAAGAAGAGAGAAAACCCTCATGGCCATGACTCGATGCCAACTCACAGCACCCTTTAGAGCAGGGTAGAGCTGCCCCTGTGGGTTTCCAAGACCAACACTTCACAGGAATAGAAAGCCTAGTCTTTCTCCCAAGGAGCAGTGGGTGGTTTCAAATCGTTGACCTTGCAGATTGCAGTCCAACGAGTAACGTCTATGCCACCAGGGCTCCTTCTCCTTGAAAACAAGGGTGCTTTGTACTTCCCAGGGACTGAAATCATCAGAGTAGTGTGCAGGAGGATGACATAAGCTACCCGTGGCTTCCATGAGGGCAGCTGTGTTACCTATCCTACCAGGAAAGCAAAGTGAGAGAGAATCCAGAGGCCCATCGGGTAAGTGAACATTTCCGAGTCCTTAGAAGTCAATCCCAGTTCCCCAGTCTTTATCTGGAGTGAATGCTCTGGGCTCGAACTCGGGGCCATCAAGTTAATTCCCACTCACAGGAAGCCCATGCAACAGGGTCACCGCATCCACCGGGCTGGAGACTCTAAGTGTTATGTGAGCAGACTGCCAGGCCTTTTCCCCTGGGGAAGCTGGTCGCTTCCAACTGCAGACCTGTACGTTAACAGCCAGCCACTCACCCATGGCACCACCAAGACCCCGTACAAAAAATCTGATTTGCGGAACCCACTTTTCACAGCCCCCAGACCCACAAAACTACTACCTAAAATGCAAATATACAAATAGATATCCAATACAAGAAACAGGAGAGAAAAACACTAA